ATAATTTACATATTTACTGAAACATAGTGTGTGTGTGTATTAAATATTATTAAAGGCTAACTTTTTAAATACAAGTACTCTCTCCACAGTTGCTTAAGATTTTTTATAAAATAAAATTTACTTTAAAAACATTGGGTGACACTAACTATCATTATTATAATTTAAACACTAATACATGTTGAATTTCACTACATGCAGCTATAAATTACTTTATAATTAATATAAATAAATATAAATTATTTAGTTTTTTTTATTGATGATTAACCGTAAATAGTTTAACAGTTGAGAAATTAGATGATAAAATGTTAAACAATGCATGATATTTTAAAAGGCAATATAATGATAATAATGAAAAACATGAGATGGCAAAGATTATTTGATATTGATTTCTCGTGAATATTAAAAATTAGGAGTATTCGGCGGGTTGAGTTGGGCAGAAATTAGTCAACTTCATTATTTAATCCACTGAAAAATATCCGGTTTAGTTTTTTGTATTTTTTTTATGTTAGATTGAATCAAATCCAATCCTTTTAAGTTGGATTAGATCGAGTCAAGATGATGAATATACTTAAAAAGTAACATAATTTTTATAAAAATTAATTCATGACTTCAAGTCAACAAATAAATTAATTATAAAAAATTTGCCTATACTAATTCAAAACATTATAAAAACATAACAAAATTTATTAATAACACAAATAATCCGTATGAGAGTAAGTTAGTTTGAATTAAATAAGATTTCATTTAATAAATGAAACCTAAAGCAATCTAATTAGATTAAATCAAATTAGATCATAAAAAAAGTACAATTAGAAAAAATATATTAAAATATACTGAAGAAAGTTTTGCAACCCTTAAAATTTTATTTAAGTCAACCGGAATAAAATAAATCAATCCAAACATACACACACAAAAAGGCTGTTGGTGAATAGTAATATACTAATATTCAAATTATGACTAAAGCTAAGTCTTTGTTTTTTTGGTATGCATGCTGCAAGCCAGATGCAAACACAAACGTGGATTTAGGATAATTGACCACATTTATTCAAACTTACTACTACAACTTATTTTAATGTAATGTCGTTTTCACTTCCAAATGTTAAGCGTAGTAATAAACATGAAGACATCTGAATACATTTTATATTACTATGGTAGTCATCAAATTAATTCCACAACACAAGCTTGTGTTAGCTTCTTAATGGATTAATTACATTGAAATCAATAATCTCAAATCATTTTTCAAATTAAGGGTAATGTACATCAACGTTATAAAACCTTTTTATACCATTAATGGAGATATTCAGGTAATTTGCAATTTTCCTTATATTTTCTGAAACAACTTTATCTAAATGAAGAGTTATATATGGTACAAGAATAAAAAGGTTACTTATCAACACAATAGTTGATTGATATAAGAAAGAAAATTAAAAAAAAAATAAAAAATAAAAAGGGTAATTAACTATAATTTCACTGTTCTTTTTTACCTGCTACTACATGTGGATTTTAATTTAAGCCTTCAAACAGTATAGTATAAACATAATATAAAGTTAAAAAGGATAGAAATACTTGACCTAATTGATACATTCCAATTTACATCAGAACTTATTTTTGTTCCCATCTTTCCCAAATCAACCAACAAATGTGACCTAATACAAAATCAATAATCAAGGCTAAGTGAAGTTTCAGATCTCCAGTGTCTTGCTTTCTCAAATCCATTGGTATAANGCATTTATTCAAACTTACTACTACAACTTATTTTAATGTAATGTCGTTTTCACTTCCAAATGTTAAGCGTAGTAATAAACATGAAGACATCTGAATACATTTTATATTACTATGGTAGTCATCAAATTAATTCCACAACACAAGCTTGTGTTAGCTTCTTAATGGATTAATTACATTGAAATCAATAATCTCAAATCATTTTTCAAATTAAGGGTAATGTACATCAACGTTATAAAACCTTTTTATACCATTAATGGAGATATTCAGGTAATTTGCAATTTTCCTTATATTTTCTGAAACAACTTTATCTAAATGAAGAGTTATATATGGTACAAGAATAAAAAGGTTACTTATCAACACAATAGTTGATTGATATAAGAAAGAAAATTAAAAAAAAAATAAAAAATAAAAAGGGTAATTAACTATAATTTCACTGTTCTTTTTTACCTGCTACTACATGTGGATTTTAATTTAAGCCTTCAAACAGTATAGTATAAACATAATATAAAGTTAAAAAGGATAGAAATACTTGACCTAATTGATACATTCCAATTTACATCAGAACTTATTTTTGTTCCCATCTTTCCCAAATCAACCAACAAATGTGACCTAATACAAAATCAATAATCAAGGCTAAGTGAAGTTTCAGATCTCCAGTGTCTTGCTTTCTCAAATCCATTGGTATAATTCTCAAAATCATCAATTGTTTGGTCAATCTCTTCTTGAGTGTTCATCACAAAAGGTCCAAATTGCACCACAGGTTCCCCCAAAGGTTCCCCTCCAACCAAAATGAACCTAAGAACCTTTGAAGATTTGTTCCATGCTTCAAGGCCATCCCCAGAACCAAGAAGAAGTATATGATGAGAAGTCACAGGTTGAGACTTTTGGTTCCCAAAAACACCCTCTCCTTCCAATATGTACACAAAAGCATTCCAAGATTTTGGTATAAGTTGCTGCAAGTGAGCACCAGGTTTGAGGGAAAAATCCAAGTACATGGTTGGTGTTCTTGTGTAGATTGGAGACTTTATTCCAAGAGCTTCTCCTGCTATCACTCTGACTTTGATTCCATCTATCATAGTTTCTGCTATGTCCTTGCTCAGCATTTCTTGGTACCTTGGCTCAATCCTAAGATAACAGTACAAACACATATCAGACCAAAGCATTAGAGTCTTAACTAAGAAACAACTTTACCAATATAACGTAAACTTTAAGGTAGACAATGATTTTTTTAATAAAAGGATCACAAACAGTACTTCCAAGATGAAAAAGTTGAATTCTTTAATAGTGGGTCATTCAGAACCAGACAAAGTAATTTGAAACTAGCATTTACAACATGTTATGGTTGCCCTTTTTATCATTGGAACTTCCATCATCACCATGGGAAATATGGGGTGGTGAGAGGCACTTTTTTTATGCTGGCCATTTCAGGCCATTTTGCACACTTGCTTCCTCAAATGCTCAATTGAAAAGCACTTCTAGGAAATGGTATATGATGGCAAATCATGAGAAAAAAAGTCACATGTGAAAGTGAGGAAGCCATATCTTAATGCAGAAAGTTTAAAAAGATTTCACTGTTTCCTTGTGAAGAGTGCAGTTCCTTTTTGTCTCACTGATATTTGGTGAAGAGCATTATCCAAAAAACTATACCCCAAATCAATGATGATGATCTTCACTGACGCAAAAGGTACGTCATCAAAATAAGGCTAACGTTGTGATTTCAGTATTTCATTAAGAAACAAATCCTGGTTATGGTTTCTCTTATTTGAGGTTTTTACATTAAAATTTTGAACAACACTAAGTAAGATAAATCATTTAGTACACTTCTGGTTTTTGTATTGATTTCAAGCAAGATGTATGACCTGAAATAGCAAAAAGTAGTTTTTGCATTTTTAAATTCATTTGACATGATTTTGTTGATATACATCTACAGTTGATGCTTATCCAAAACTCAGTTTTAAAAAGGACTAATGACTTTCTACAAGTTCAATCAGTACTTAATTAAGTTTTTAACTAGTTTTGACCTTTTAAAAGGGCGATAAGTAATTAATTAATATAATATATACATATACACATATATATAATATATACACATATTATACATATACATACTATATAATAATATACATATCTATATATATATATATATATATATATATATATATATTGTATGTATGTATATGTATATTCAAAAGTGACTCTTTGATTGGTTTAGAAGGATTTTGCACCTACATTTTATGTTTTGAAGAGAGGTTGATCCACAGCTGAAGACCCTTTTGAGTTCCTTGAGCTGCAGGCATTTCTGAGTGAACTATCCCTCTTCCTGCAGTCATCCACTGCAAGTCACCAGCTTCAATTGTTCCCTTTCGTCCATCAAAATCTTCATGTGTTATGGCTCCCTGAATTGTGCAAAAAAGTTGCATTCAGGTGAGGTTAGCACATCAGCACAAGCATGTGTCATCAGTACACAACTTTGGATACATTACATTGCACTCAACATGGTAGTTGGCATTCTAGAAAAATAAACCAGACAGCAACATGTGGGGTCACTTTTGTCTTTGTGCTATTACTATTAAGTCATAACCAACTACTATGGTAATAAGGACATCATCTTTAATGGTTTGGTTTCTGTGGCACTAATCTAAATGGCTCAATTGGTAACGAATCATTAATTTGTGACTAACATTTTGCCACACCATCAGCACACAGATTGCACCATTTTTAGCTGATACTTTGCTCAACTAAAACTATGAGCTGATATAGATAAAGCGAACTAGTACTGCTATTTAGTTTACTTCTAATTTTTGGTTTTTCAACTATGTTGATTTGCACAGTAACCTTTATATTATGTGATTTTGACTTTGTAACACGGATTGCAACCAAAAGTAAAATAACTTAATACAAGGTTTTTTCAAATGTTGGAAAACTGTTTCATGATCAATGAGCAAAGGAGGAAAAGGCAACGAACTGAAACAGTAAAAATTACCTGCAACATGTATGTGACTGTCTCAAATCCTGCAAAAGAAAAGTGAAAAGACAATACAAGGAACAAGGAGTCAGAAGATTAACAAATTATATCACTGAAGAACATTACATCAATGACATATAAATCTCATTGACAAACCTCTGTGTGGATGATCAGGAAACCCAGCAGGAGCCGTGACTGCATATTTCAGATTTTCACATTCTTAGAAAAACAAAACAAGATTGACCCTGATCTATTTTTTCAGTATTGAAGTTAAAAAACAGAAAATTACAGAGATGCCCACCTGAGAATTCATCCAAGACAAGGAAAGGATCGAAGTTCTTGAGCTCAAATCTGAACATACCCACATAACGAATCAATTCAAAAAGCTCAACTTTTAAAAACTTGCAATGCAATATACATTTAAAGTTTATCTACACATCTCATCAAAATTAGTTTCAGCTAAACAGAATCTCATGTATGCAGAATGGCTAAAGAACAGCTGCGATATCATTCTCTCTTACCTCCCTATGCTTCTTCTAACAACTGCCCCAACACCCTCATGTTGAGGTCTGGCCAAGAACTTTCTGGCCACAAGACGAGGTTCTTTAAGGTAGCTGCTGATACCTTGGTTCGGCATTTTGTGGAAAAGAGAAGAAAAAGTTGTTTGATGGACATGTGAGGAGCAAGACAAAGATTGTTTAAGGTATATATAGGAAATGGGGGGTGTGGCGTGAGAGGTAGATACAGAGGAGAGGTTTTCACTGTTAGGAAAGTCAAACCTCAAAACGTATAGTGTTGGCTGCCAATGAAGACCCACATCGAATAGAATAAGGAACACTTTGCTTCAGCTCAAGGTTCTTTTGCTTTCCTTATTCCCACCAACGTCAGCATAACGCACTCGTGATGTGTGTCGTGGGCATAAGCATACCATACCACCTTATTATTACTATTATCAATTTTTATAATTATCATGATAATACAAAGTATTTAGTATTTTTTTTAATTACCAAGAGCTAAATTATATTTTTTTACATTTAACATTTTGATTCAAAATGTTCATTTATAAAAAAAAAACAAAAATTTCTCCACCTCATGTTTCCAAGATGGGAATTAAACATCTATTTCTAAACTTTTATAAGAATTTAATATTCTTTTTCTAATTAATTATGACATTTTTTTTTCCTTTTGTACATTATTGTTGAATGTTTTTAATTTGATCTCACTCCTTTTAAAAACGTTTCTTGACGACGAATGTAACACTCGAATATCCATGAATTTAATAAAGGTTATATTACGTTGATTCATTCCTAAAAATATAAATCAATTTTAGAACAATAATAATTAAAAAATATATATTAAATCTTCAGAAAGTTTTTAAAAGGATTTTTGTTTTGCACAGTATATACTTTAATCATCTACAGAAAAATCCCAGAGGTTTATATAAAAATCTAATCTAGAAATAATTGGCGTCATGACAATTTGGACTTAGCATTGTTTAATTAGAGTGGTTACATGAGTAGCACCTGTGATGTTAAATTGTTTGGTTTTATATTAAAATGAAAGTTAAGGTTCATAAATATATATAAAAAAAAAGGAAGAAGAAAAATTGTTGGATGATAGCTGGAGTTTTGCATCACTTGACATCACCCACGTTTCAGAATCGCTTAATTTAAGTATTGACTTTTTTTAATAATCTATTTATATATCTTTTCTTTCTCTATTTACTCTATCATTTTTTTTTAATCACGTTTAAGTGCTTCTCAAGTTGAGTTTTTTTAATACTGAAGTTACTAATTTTATGATATATATATTGAATTTTGTAGCATATATTTAATTCGATAACAATACTGGTGATATTTGAAATTATTTGATTATATTTTTAGAAGTAGTGTCATATCTTATGCAAAGAAATAGGTTAAATTGTAATTTTAGTTTGTAATGTATTTTTTGTTCTATTTGAAGTGGACAAAAAAGAATAATAATGCAAAGAATTATTTGCGTGATAAAATATACTTTTGTTGGTATTGATGATATTCATTTTCAACTTGGTCGTGTTAAAAAAAGTTATCAGATCATCCTCTGTTAAAAAGAAGCTCATCGATGACTGAACATGGAAGATGAAATACAGTTAGATATGAATGAAGACGTGGTGGTCCTACGAATAAGATAGTATACAAATAAATTTACTTGGTAAGTATAAATTTAAAATAAAATGTTTTCTCAATTAATTTTTTCTATAACTTTCCAAAAATTAATAATAGACTAACAAGTGTAAAAGTTTTTAATATATTTATTCAAATCAATGTACTTTATATATTTTTTTAAAATGTTTGTTAAACGAAATAATATTACGCTAATGAAAATTGATTATATATTAAGTAGACTTTATATTAAGAATTGAATTTTATATTTATTTAATTTTGAAAAATTAAGTTGTAAAATAAAATCTGCAATAACTTATATAATCTAAATTACTCTAAAATTAATTTAATATCATATATAATGTATAACAAAATAAAATTTGATGCAATTTTAAGTATAGAAAAAAAGGACTCTTGTTACTTTTTTTTTTCCAAACGATGATTAAAAGAGTTAATTTAACTAAACATATTAAATGGTTAATGAGATATTTAAAGAAGATCCTTGTTAGAGAAGTGTTTGTGTGGTGAGAATGCATGATGGTGTAAGCATATGATTAGAAAGTGTTGAAGGACATCTTTCATTCTCACAACCACGTGGAAGGAATTAATCAAAAGGTTGAAAAAATGGTTCTTATGGGAAAATCTAAGTCACCTTCGTTCTTTCATCAAGGTAAGTAAGTACAACAAACAAAGACATAAAAAGAAAAAATGACAACAAAAATACAAAGAGCGTATGCAGGGACGGCAATTTTACCCGCGAACACGAGTACTCACGGGTAAAATTCGCGACGGATAGTAGCTATCCGTGAATATTTACTACCTGCAGGTAATGGGTAGCGAGTATTTTAATACCCGCTTCTAAACGGGTCGGGTAGTATACTATCCGTCCCGTGGGTACCCGTCACCCACAAAAAATTTAAAAATAAATAATTTATATATTTTTTAATTAAATTTAATTAAAATTAAATTTTAATTGACATTTAATTTAATTTATATTATATATATATATATATATATATATATTTATATTTTTATTTAAATTTTATTTTTAAAATGTATTAAAAATTTGTTTTTATTTTATGCGGGTATCCGCGGGTTTTAAAATATTCGTGGATATTTTTTAAGCGGGTACCCGGCAAATAGCGAATCGGATAGCGGGTACGATTTTATCCGGCAGGTCGGGTTGCGGATAGGCACTACCCGTACCCGATCCGACCCGTTGTCATCCCTAAGTGTGTGAAGGTTTAACTCTACACGTTGTTGCACTTACTTACCACACAAATAAGAGTTTCTTTCAATCTTAACATTGCAAATTAGGTTTTATTTAAATTAAGGCTTAATACCCTATTTTGTCCCGAGTTTCGCTCGACAATGTCAAATTAGTCCATCCTTTACAAAGTGTGTCAATTACGTCCTTACTTAATAAAATTTATATCAATGAAATCTCTTCCGTTAAATCTGTACAAACGGCGTTAATAAAAGAAAGAACGTTTGTACGGATTTAACGGAAGGGATTTAATTGATATAAATTTTATTAAGTAAAAACGTAATTGACACATTTTTTTTAAAGGATGGATTAATTTGACATTGTCGAGCGAAACTGACGACAAAATAAGATATTAACCCTTAAATTAAAAAGTAATTTAGAATCAATAATTATAAATAATTAAAATTTTAGTAATCATAAATGTGACTCCTTCATAAACGTTGGAAAAATGTAGTAAAAGTGGGTTGTTGACTGTGTTGATTTAAAAAATAGGTGGTTTGACCTTAACTTGACGTGGCCTACATGGCAACTCATTTAATTTCTTTTTCCTTTTCAATAACAACAAAATGAAATTTCCGTCAGAATTAATGTCAGCATAAGATTGCCAACTCAAATAATAACAATTTTGACATCATTAGAACAAAAGCATGACGCATCTAATCAATCAAACTATTAAATTCGTAAAGCTCTTCCACTTTATCGATACAACAAAAATACCTACTTATTAAATATATTTCTTTCTTAATTTTCATTACAAAAGCTATTAATATTATCAATTTATCTTTTCGTTACAAACATACCTTTTTATTAGATATAAGTGATAGTATTAACAAATGTCAACTCATCATCTCTAACGAATGACCCTTATCTAACATAAGGAATAACAATTTTTTTTAAAAAAGAAATATATAAAACATATTATGTAAAAAATAAATGAAAAGAAAAAATTGAATCATTACTGTATATATGTAATGCTGTTAAATCTGAAAATTAATTGTTAATATATTTATGCACTTTCTGAAAAGTACATGTTAAAAAAATATTTCAATTATAACTTCGGCCTCGCATTTTTAGAATATTTCTGCATAATCTAATTAAACAGTGTTTTTAAATACTAAAAGAATATTCTTTAATCTTATTGTGCTAAATATGGTAAACTATATATATTAAATGCAACATTAAATAAACTTTTCATGGATGATACCGATGAACAATATTTTAATGCAAGAATCGTTCATGTAAGAAGAACAAAATAAGAAATTGAAGGAGTGGTGGGATAATGTTGAATTTTAGTGTATCTTTTTCCCCTCGGTTCTTTTAATGAGTTCCTATGAGCTAGATAAGCATGCTGAGATGTTTATAAACAAATATTAGCTATCATTATGATAATTAACCCTACCTGGGACGAGAACGCAAGAAAAACGGAAACAAAACATGTAACATGACAATGTACGACGAGGCTTGTGCTACCAAAATCATGCCCAACTCAAATTGAAACTGCAATTATGTAGGAGAATCCGACATACTTTAGGTCTTTTTAGATGGGTACATGTTTCTCAAATCCACAGAAAAAATGAATTATTCCATTTGTTTAACGCAATCCACCACAATTCGCCATTATTGCTCTCAATGCTTTGTGACTTTGTCTCATTTCTACATGATACAATCTCGTACAGAGACTCCTCTACAGTGTTCATAGAAGCTGTCTGAAGTAGGTGTAGGATGGGAAGTATTTCTGTTTTTATTCGTTAATTTTTGTTATACAACTTCTTCCATCTTTTTTTTTCAAACACTTCAAATCAATCTTATATCTTCTAAACGGTAGTAGAGGAAGTTGAACACACAATCTCTTTTATTCTTTCTTCTTTCAATTTTTATTGCTAGACTAACCTTATACCTCTATGGACTTTCCTGTATCAATTCCTGTTGTGCAATCTTTGGAGATTCTGAGTATAATTTAGAGAAATCTCAACAGAAACTGGCACCATTAACTCATTAATGTGCGTTGATCCGAAAAGATGATGCCAAATCTTCTTTGGTAGTGCCTAGTGAAATCATGAATTGAAAATCCAGGTAAAGATCCGCAATTTTGTTTGGGATTGTCAAATTGGGGTCACCGACCCATTTCTGCCACTCATTGTGAGTGAAGTCAAATGCATTCATTAGGTGCATATTGTTAGCTTAAATAGTACATAATTGTATTTTAAATTAAATGCATTCATTAGATGCATGTATTCTTAGCTTAAAAAAATCA